ATAAACCCTCCCTGGACAGAGATGCCTACAACGTTGTTAGCTAAGCCCAGGGGGAACTCCTGGGGACGGCCCTCTCTGTGACTGGAGCTAGCACGCCAGCCTCCCTCCAGTCCATGGATTTTTCAAGTTCTTTTAAAGGTGCTTAGAAGGCAGGCAGCCAGGCAGGCAGGCAAGGGGTGTCACCCACTAAACCAGGCATGGAGAATTCCAGGTGTTGTTGGACTGCAGTGTCCATCAGCCTTAACCAGGCTATGACCCATAGGAGTTGCAATCCAACCCAGATGGACCCATTTCTGAAAAGGGCAGGGAAAGCCCGTGGTGGAAAGCCTGGAGAGCCACTACTGGCCTAGATGGACCAGCAGGTGGACACTGGACAAGACAGCTCCTTATATTCCTGCCTCGAGGGCCACAGGTTGCCCACCACTGCCCTTAACCACATGACAATTTCGGCCCATGTAGCCCTTTCTGGAGGAAACAATTGTGCAAGGCTTTCTTTTCCCCTGAAAGAACAACATACCACTTCAAGAACTTCTACATCTTTTCCTTTGGAGCAGTTCATTCTCCCTCTGTAATACTAGACCTCATATCTCCTTTCTCAGAAAGCAAGCCATCGAGTGAGAGAACAAAAAGGCTTCTATTCTTTTGCAAGACAGTTCCCCCCCCCCCCCCCAGTCACTTTTCCATTGCACCTGTCACATCGTACCACATGGGTATACCATGTACCTGGGCAATCCTGGAGGTGCTGCAAATGCACCATCAGAAGTAGCACTACTGTCATATTAAGATGAAAGCATGTTCCAGGGTATCGACAGAATCATCCCTGAGCAATATTTTTCTCAAGGTACATGGAAGATGCCTGCTGAGAAGCAAGCCCATGGGGAGCAGAATTGGTGCAGTCCCCCCTCAAGGTGGGGCCCTTCAAGACTACAAGGCTGTGGTCAAGCTGGCTAGGAAAGATGGGAGTTGCAGTCCAACACATCTGGCAAGCACTAGGGTGAGAAATGCCCCCCTCCAGTATGAACCCTGCTTTCTAAAAAGCATGAATAATATTAGTGGAGCAGCTTACATTGTTTCAGCTAATTAAAATCAGATTTGATTATATTTTCTCTCCCACTGCCTGCCTCACTTTACTTTGCAGCATGACTGTTCATTTTCTAAATGGCCTAGGTGAAAACTTTCTTTTACCAGTCCTTTCTGTGTACATAGTGGATGTGGACTCCCAGTCTATCATTTTTTCCTTGCTTCAGAGGTCCAAGCAAGGAAGGGTCTACAGCAGAGCTGGGGAAGGCCAGGCCAGCAAACCTAAGCTCTGACCTGCAGCACTTGCCCATCCAGCCTCTGAAGCCTCCTTGCATTGCTTCAAAACTAGTTTTTCCCCCCTTTGCTACCAAGGAGAAGGAGAGGGTTTGTGAGGAAAAGAAGGGCAACCCTTGGAGGAAGTCTGGAGCCGCCAGAAGGGAACCTTTGGTGCAGAATTGCAAGACTTGCTTCTCTGCTTTTGGAAGATACACAAGGCCAATCTTGTCTACTCGGCCAGAGCACATCTTGCCAATACCCAGAAAAATAGTCATAGTTCATACGCTGTGTAATGGCCTTCTCCAGCACATTTTAATCATCCTTGACCAGCACAGCTATTAGATGCAGATGATGGTGGTTGTAGTGCAACACATCTGGAGAACATGAGGCTAAGGAAAGTTGGTCTATAAGGCATCATGTCAACAACCCAAGTTTTTGCCTATAGGAAGCCTATGGACTGCTCTGGGGCAGAACATGGGGGGAGTATTGATATGCTATGACCACTGCATATGACCTGGCCTTGGAACTGGCAGTAGGTCAAGACCTCCATAACTGGACCTTTTTTGGTTTGTCTGCTGGAAGTGCAAGTGCCCCAGGGAAGCTTTTAGTCAGGATGCAGGATTCTCATGGGGTGCATATCCATATCCACACCCACAGGGCGCTTCAAGGGAAAAGGAAGATTCTTTGGAAGTCAGGCAAGGTAGCAAAGGGAAATTCAGGACTGGTTACAGCAGTGGCTCAGCACTTTACCTGAGCTTGTCTTTATGCCATCCAGCGAATCCATGGGACCTGCTCCATCTCCTATCAGCTGCTTGTGCAGCAAACCACTGCATTAAGGAAAAGGGCAGGTGATTTTGAAAGGGATTTGGCCAGGATTGAGGATCCAAGTGGCAGGAAAACAGGAACAATAGGCCCTACGTCTCTTAAGCTAGACAACTGCATGGCACTTGTCTCACTTTCTTGCTCCAGCTGTCAGAAAGGTGCTCCCAACCTACTGCCTGCTTCAAAGCAAGTGCTGGGTGCGGGACACCTGCCTGGCAAGCTGGAGCAAGAATGGGGGTCAGGAGGAGAATCTGCTGAAGCATGCAGCCCCCAACCCCCAATCCGAATCGTGAAGCGGTGCATGTAAGCAGCAGCAGCAGCAGGGGAATCAGCTGATTGGCGCTGCTCCTTTCTGCAGCTCTGCCCATCTAATTTTGCCCAACCCCCCCTTCTCCTGCTCCAGCGTCTCCCTAGAACAAGAGGGACCTGATCAGCTCCCTCAACTTTTCAGCTGAGCTTTAGGGCATGAGCTGTTTGCACAGGCTACATGACAGCTGTAGTGCCTCCTGGGATACTGCCTGGAGGACTGAGAGAGAAGGAAATGGCAGGAGGGAGGAGAGTTACCACGATGAGCCTGATTGTCAAGGCAAAAAACTGGCACCATGGTAACCATGCAGGGTTGCTAGTCATGGTGTGTGAAACTAGCCAGTCTGATAGAGGCAAGGAAAAGGGAAAGAGGAGAAAAAAACTTTAGCAGATGGATGGGCCAGTTTTGCTCCTTCCTGGATTTTGGAATCCATCCCTCCAGCATCTGTGGACATCCTCTTGTGCTCTGCTTGGTCCTGCAAAAAAAGCTAAGAGGTAGCCTGTGAATATTAGCGGTCTTTGCTTGTGCAACTGGCAACCTTCCCAGTGGCTGCAGGATGCGAAAGGAGGTTGCCAGGAGCTGGAGCACCAGGCACCATTCTCAGCTACTTCCTTGTCCACTGGGTGCTGCATACACAGTGTGTGGGGCTAGATTCCTGGCAAGCACCCTGGGAACATTCATTGGGAACTTGGACTCTGGGCAAAGCAGAGCTGAGTCCAGGGAGCTGAATCCAGGGAACCTGATTCCCACCCTCAGACGGATTCCTTGCCCATTCTTACTCTCCCCATTGCAGTGATTGGCTTCATGGGAAACCGAGGCTGCAGCCGCCCTGCAGCCCTAAGTCACCTGAGGGATGGTTAGGGCTGAAGTGTGTTGTTATGAAAGGGACACATCCCTGGTCTTGGTTACACTGCTCAGAGTTAGAGTGGATCTCATATACTATGCTAGACCAGCACCTGAGGATCCCTAGCCAAATCCAGCTCCCTAAGATGGATAACCTGATACCAGCCTGGTTGCAGACCCAAAGACATGAACAGATGAAGTGGTAGTAATAACAACAGCACTTTCTGACAACTGACTTAGGAGATGCCTTTTCTTTAAAAGTAATTGCTGATTATTTCTAGTTAATTTCACATGGTAAGCCTTAGAGTTGTAGCAAACTATTTTTTAAGGATTTGCAAGATGGCATGATATAAAGTTTCTAATTTTAGTTTGTGTGCGTTATCAATGTGAGAAACTGTCTTTTAGGGAATAGTTGAGTATTTAGTCCAAACAGAGGGGGTTTGTTGTTGTTGTTGTTTGTTTTTTAATCCTCTACAGATTAGGCTTATAAATCCAGATCCCTGGCCTTTTTTCAGGAATGAGGAGGGAAGCATGTAGCCTGCATGAGGGAATCAGATCACAAGGGAGTTAAAACTAGGTCATCTTAAATGAAAAAATATGGAGGAGATCCGTTGCTAGTTTTTCCTAGGCAGTGAGCCCTTCAAGATACATGCTTTTGCAAGTGTGCACATGTGCCTTCAAAACTGACAAGACACTGCTCTGAAATTAGCCAGTTTCAACTGAAATCTCCTCTTTTTGAGTTTAACATTAGAATTGGGGTCAGAAGATGAGAAAAGCCATAATGGGTGCCATCAAATGGGTGTCATTACACTAATTCAGTCACATTCTAGGCAGAACCCTAAATTGCTGACTGCAAAAAGTTGGCATTTCCCATCAACAACATTATGCTCTTTGAATGCTGGGCAGATGCACTTCTTAAGAGCGGAGACATCTGGATCCAACAGCAGCACAAGTGACCAATACTAGTGCATTTGCTCAACTCTAATTAAATATTCTGGAAAGGTTTCAAGCCTCCCCAAGTTTGATTAGGATTTCTCTGCCTGCAGGTATATTTTAAAGATCCCAACACCTTATGCAAAACATCAGAAATAAATTACTACAGCAGAAGACTAATTCCATGTGCCTCCATTACATTTGTTAGTCCATAAGAAAAAGGAATACACACAGATGAATTGTGAAAGCAATTCCTGTGAAGGTCAAATCTTAGTTTTTGATTAACTGAATATGAAAAAAGATTATAAGCAAAAATGTTCAAGATTGATGCCCAAAATAATATACGCATCGATGCAGGCAAAAATTACATAAGCGGACCCCGGCAGCTTAGTTAGAAGGTCACTAAGTGGGTAAACCAGAATTGTTACATGTACAAAAATGGAGACATATTCTGTGTGTTAAGTCTTACATCGGGGCAACAACTGCATAGTGGACTGAGTCTTCTACTTGCTTGGAGATCAGCAAATCAGAGAGAGAGAGAGAGTGAGAAGAAGAGATTCTATTCGTGGTAAATGTTTTTTCCATCTTCACTAAAATAAGTTAAAAGGTAGATGAGATTACTAAACCTTCCCCCTAAAGAGTTTTTAAGGAAGGAGATTCTCTTTAAATTCAACACTGAATTTCATTTGTACACTTTTATACATTTCTGGAAAGAAATGAAGACCTTTTGTGCACAGATGTTTGTTTGTTTGTTTGTTGGTTGGTTGGTTTGTTAAAGGAAAACAACAGCAAAGTTAAGTGCATTTTTTAACTTGGAGATTTATTTTGTTTTAATAAATCTGACACCAGTCAGGGAGAAAGAAAAACATTGTGAGCCCAGAACAACCAGAAGCCTCTTAAAAGTGCTTCCTTTTTCCCATAGAAATTTTTCTCTGCTAGGTTTTGAAATCACCCCATGGGCTCATGAGCTCCTTCCCCCACCACAAACCCTCCCTCCCTCCTTCCCTCCCCTGCCCTTTTTAATTTTTCATTTATTTTTTTAAAAAGCGAGCTTGCTCATTGGGTGTAATTTTCCAAGCCTTCACAGCCCTAATAAATAAGGAGCACCTGTAAAACAGTAGCTTGACTTAAGTGAATCTGTACAAAGGAAAATATAGAAATACAGTATGTACATAGTGCCCTCAGGGCACCCTCGCTATAAGGCTCTGCTTTGATTGGCTTGTGTTCAGACCCTGCTCCCAACTCTTTTGAAGTACATCCTTTCCAAATGGCTTCCTGTTTGCTAATTAAAATAGCCTTATAGTAAAGGTGTACCCTGGACACTGTAGTGTGAACAATTGCTTTATTCAAGTTAGTAAACAGTTACACTGGATCACAAGGTGATTTGAACATTTTTATATGATTTTTTTCCCATTCCCCGCCGCCCTTAGTATTTTGTCAGAATGGGATACTCCACATTTTTACCAAATCAGTGCCGGCATACATGCTCTAGTGTACTTTTGGACTCTTGGCTACAACTATACAAGTGCACACAAGTAAATTCTACCCTGTTATCCTCCACCCACTGACTGAGGATTGAATTGCACATTTCTTTTAACCATGACAGGAGAAAGCAAACAGTGAAACAGAATCGTGGGGGCTCTCTTCTCATTTTACCCCTGTGTTTTCATTGGCTTGGCCATACCTTTCTAATTATCATGAAAGGGCTTCGCATCTGGAGAGATTGTCTCACTGGCTTCCTGGATCACTGAAAAACCATCAGGGTTGAAATTTCATCCAAGTCTTTCATAACACCCAGCAAATATTTCCCCCAGATAGTTTTACACCTTGAGGGGATCTTTTTTTTTTTTTTCCTTTTTGGTCTTTAGTTCAACACTCTTGCTCTGTTCCCAAATGGGGCGCTATTTAGGGAAATTGAAAGAGAAAGCTGAGAGGAATAAACATTTACTGAGTTCTCTTGGCATTCAGTCTCTGAAAAACCACAGTATAAACTATTCATGCTGCTTACTTCTGTCAAATAAAAAAAATTAAAAAATTAAAAGCCATAAAAGTGTAACACTGAAAATATGGCATTAAAAGGGATAAAGGTGGCCTTTGTAAAAATAACAAGGAAAAAAGTATATTAGCCAATAAAATATTCTAATAACTCTTCATTTAAAAGTGCATCATGGGTAGGAGATAGAGATGACTCTGAAGTGTCAATACTCCAGTATAGCCCCTTCAACCCCCACCCCCCCATCAAAAACGCGAATCGGTCCAAAACCATACAATGCAAATCACAATTCTTAGTGTAGCAGCAAAACCACAGCAGTTTTTGAAAAAAAATCTATTTCATTGTCCAACCTCAATAATCTGAACCTTGAAGTCAGTGAGGGAAAAAAAGTACATACATTGGTCCATGTGGCTTTAGAAATCAGAGGAAAATCCTCCGTCGGCAAGAAACCAAAGGGTATGGGAGAAGGGGAGATGGTAGTTGGAATGCTGAGCGTGCTTCGTGGTGTCCATGATGTGCTTACAGTCTTCTGAGCCAAAGGCACCCAAAGGTTTGAGCCTTCTCTCCGTGAGAATTAATGATCGAAAGCGACTTTGCTTTCTTGACTTTTAACCAGAAGGGGTGGTGAGTGGACCAGCTGGTGTTGTTTGGTGAAGTAGTATGGTTTGCTCTGCTCCCTTTCTCCATGCAAGTTACCCTGTCAAATTGAGCATTCCTGTAAAAACAAAGACAGGCAGGTCAGGTTCTACCTTGCATCATGGTGATTCATACAGGTGGTGATATTATGTCCTGTAGGTGTTGGACAAGGCCGACATAATCAGGAAGGGGAATATTTGCAGTTTTACTGCTGATGATATGAAACTGTGAGGATGTGTGAGCAGGACTTCCAGCTTTTCTTGCCTACAAAGCTGTGGGGAAAGTAGCAGATGATGAATGGAGAACTTGCAAAGCAAGATGAGAGAGCACAAAACAATGGCTCCTTTCACTTTGAGAGATGGCGCTTGAAGTTTCTTTATCCCCAGACCTGGAAAAAAATGTTTGGGGCATAGTCTACTGATCTCTGCTTTCACATAAGACCCAGTGAAATGATTACAGGTGTTTTTGAGCTAAACAAGGCAGATAATGACCTGAAGAATCGGTATGGTCCTCCTTCTCACTGGTAGGAGGTTAAGCTGCAGAACACACATAAGTTGACTTTCCAGATTTCTAGAAATACAAACAGCTCTGAAACCAAACACTATATGACAGACTTTCCTAACCTAGTGCTATCCACATGTGTCTGACTACAACTCCTGTCATCTCCAACCTCCATGGCTATTGGCCCTTCTGGCTGGGGATGTGGGAGCTGTGATCCAATGCAGCTGAAGGCTGCTTGTTTGGGCAAGGCTGCTATATAACATTGAATTCAAGGGTAGGAGAAGGATAATAGTTATTGGTGGTATGACAGAGGCAACAAATTTCCTCTGGTGCACATAGACATTCCTGTGTCCTGTTATTATCTGTGGCCAAGCAGCTCTTAAAGATCCATTGACCACTGACAGGTGCTGTGAAATGGTGTGACCAGATACACCGTGGGATGTTTACATGCATTGGTGGTGATGCCTATTTCATACTACCTTCAACCTGTTGTGGGCAGGGGAACAAATAGTTCTCTGTCTCTAGACATCCGGTGCTTCCAGATGGAAGGCTTCTAGTGCCACCAGTCAAAAGATATTGTGCAGCTAGTCTGCCCTTTCCTTCTTAACGGGTGGTTGTGATAAGAAAAAAGAGGGAAAAAGCCATGGGAAAACATGACAAAGTCACAAGTGGAAGATGGTGTCATTGGTGCAGCTCCACCCCTAAAATTCTGTGAATGAGGAAGGATGATTATTGCATAAGAAAAGCCTTCTCTGGAAGCCCCATTAGATACTCTTTCCACTATTATGCTTCTCAGAGTTCAAGCCCCAATGTCCACCACTTCTTCTATTTTCAAGCAATTTGTTGCTATTGATGACTCTCTTTGGACTGGCGCAGAGCTACTTCTCATCCTCCAGTAAATAATCAAGCACATTTCTCAGCCAATTCAGATTTAATACCCTCCATGGTGATGGGGAGGCAGGGAATTCAGACTGCTACTGTTTCTATATGCAATCTAATGGAACAATATCACAAAGAAATAACGTAATCAGAAGAACCAACCTTAGGAAAGCTAAAGAAAGAATAATACAATTTGATGTTAGTCGCGAAGTGTCTGACCCATTGCGACCCCATGGATACAATACATAATGGTATTAATGAGGAATATCTTACATTGACTATAACCAAATGGATGTAGCCTACCCTATTAGTGCTAAAGTGAAATAGAAGGAAGAAGCACAATTTTTACACAGACCTCACAGCCTAATCTTTTGACCTATCAGAAATCAAGGTCATTGCATGGATAAGAACAACCTTGTGAGGTTGGAGGATTTCATGGGTACTTCTACAGCACACTGGGACCCCAAAACAGCCTGCACCCAGAATTACTGATGTAGATTGGAATCCTTTTAAGCATTGCTCTAGCTGTGTGGCAGCCACTGCACTGTGCCTTATGGCAGGAGAGGGGTTTTCAAAGGGGAGCCCAGAGCAAGCATCTGTAATGGCTCTGGCAGCTTAATAAAGATATCGGGAACTGATGCTGACCATGTTGCGTCTTTCACCACTTTCTAAGTGCATCTTAGGTTTTAGTTTTCTATCTTTTGTTTTATGACAAGGTATGCTAGGAGTCATCCTTGGTATTTCATTCCATCGTCAAAACATGGCCCACCTATCTTGCCAAGGATATTCTGGGTGTGATAGTTGCTGGGGTCAGGTGATTCATGAGAAGGTGTAAGAAACAGGAGGGAGAAATGCTCATGCTGTTTGCCTTGTTAAGGAGATTGCTTTCATGCATATGCATGCTGAACAGAGAACATCATGCATGTTGTTCTCTCTTGCTGTCAGAGAACATTGTAGGCTCAGCTTAGGTTGCTGGGAAGAGACAGGCAGCTTTACACCTGATGTTCAGAAGTGGCCCAGTACAGGTTTGCACCCTAAAGCTGAGAACTTCTTTACAGGAGACCTTTAACTTGCCAGTTTACTGAAGCTTTTGCTTCTGGATCCTTTGCAGGGTTACGACAGGCCCCTTCACACATGGCATTTTCCTTTAGCGGTTTCTTTCTCTGCTTTTCTAGATGTTCCATTACACAACTACCAGACAGCGCTGGGGGATGGCAGATGCTAGGGATTCAGGCTGCTATTCACAGAAAAATCAGACTTTTCTCACTAGAAGAAATAATGCTACAATGATTGCAAAGAACAGGAGAGGCCCTGGAGGTCGATGGTGTTAAGTAAAGCAAGTGCAAACTACCATGAGTGAGGAATCATGAATGCACAGTAAACCTTTCTTGTAGGAAGCCTCTATATTACCATGCCCTTTAGGCAGAAGTGGTTGTTACCTTGACATGTATGTACATGTGCTTGGGGGAAGGTTTCTTTGTCCTTACATGTAAAGGCTCCGCTTTGACAGTGCACTGACAAGGAAACAAGCTTTAACTTATTCCCTACCCCAGTGGGTATTTCTGATGGTTAGCAAAGATTGCTTAGGCTTTTGGTAAAGTGTTGATAGAGGCTTGCAGATCACTGCTCTCTATAAAGTACTGCAGTGCAGTAGTTAATCCTACCAAGCAATGAATATGAATATTGTTGCTGATGAAGCCTCAGAATACACCCAGCTCCTCTGGGATAGAAATGGGCTCAGAGCAAGCCAAGCCCATAATTTTCTTAGGGAGGCTCTGCTGAGGTCATCGACCACAAGTGTGTAGTAAGGCAAGCATGGAAGCGTGTTCAGCCCTGCTAACACTTTGGGGTTGCCTGTTATTTGCATGGTTCTTGTCTTCATAAAAGTGTTGAAACTTGTTCAAGGCTCCATGAAAGCCTTCCCTTTTGAAAAGCTGGTGATTTATCTCTCTTTCCCCACAAAATGAAATAAAGGACACCACATCACCAGAGCTGGGAGAAACATTCCATGCACAGAGTCAGGCCAGAAACTTATTTTGGGAGAAACAACAAGCTGGGAGTCATGGAGAAAGTCAGTGTGTGGTTTAACTCAAAAGAGTTCTTACTTAATCCCAAATGCTACAAATATGCATTGTCTGTCTAGTCCCTTTGTTGATATTCCTAAGGTTAGGAATAGCCTTTCCTATTCTTCTTCCCCTGCTCCCTTCCTTTTCTCATGTGGTGGTTGTACAGAAGAAAACATGCATGAGCACTGAGATATTGATTTGTTGTAATTAAACAACAGAAGACCCGATGGCTATTGAAACACTTTCTGTTAGCTTCATGCTCCAAAGAGGATTTTCGCAGATAATTGGAGTTATTTTGTAGCTGTTCAAGTAACCTTGCAGCCTGGTGTCTGAAGGTTAGCTTGAGCAAGGGCAAATGCAGCCCAATGTCCTAACTCATTTTTAAATGGCAAGGAACATTAATGCTGAGGGCTTTGGGGCTTCAAGTGGTTGATAAGGTTCTTTGGAAAGGAGTTGTATTTGTGTGCATTTTACAAATCAGCCCTATTCTCCCAGGAAACAAAACTAAACATAGCATTCCACCTTTTCTGATTTGACTATACATCAATGGTGTTTCTCCCATACCTTCAACGGTATTTCTATATTTTCGGTGAAGGCAATTGGAGACTCTAATCTCTGAGACGGCTGGTTATGAACGAAGCTTTAACTTACAGCAAACAACTACTGCAGTACCAAGACCATAATGAGCACATTTTCAGAGACAACCATTCACTAGGCAGTTTTGAGCAGATATTATGAAATGTGACAGCTTAGAAGCAGGGCCAAGGGAAAGACAGGCAATTATCTTTAGACAATGTACAGTGCCAGACCCGTCTCTTCACTTGTTTCTTTTCCACATATGATAGGGATCAAAGGCAGATAGCATGGAGAATCTGTTGGGCTAGCTCTATTGCTCTGCAGATTCTTTGGTGGAAAAGCTGAGTTAACCATGAAGGTGGCACTGAAGCTGCTCAGATGTTGTGCACGGCAGCTTTAGCATGCATGTAGCATGACATGGAATCTGTATCTGAATTTTATATACCAAAAGGGCTTAACAACGATGTGCTGTCCTCAGTATTATCAAGTCCCATTCTTCTCCTGCTTGATGTAGGACTAGCACTGGATACATCCCTTTGTTGGAACTGCCATGACTGCACTGAGCACCTTCTCTATGTGTTTCAATATTTCTGTGGGAAAGCAATCTAGCCTTTGGGTCACAGACTTTAAAATGGAAGCTCTAGTGCTTCAGACAAAATGTAGAGTAATCTAAAGCACCATGGCATGCAAGAGATCATAATGACAGCAAGTATTACATTTAACCACATAGTCTCCCCAGAAATAGCTTGAAATTACTCTAAATATAGGGTGAATATACTAATAGGTTGTTGAGATGCAGAACTTTGCAAAGAAATCCAAACCCGATCGTTTGCTTCATTCTATACTACCCAAGTTCTTCAATGTGTGCATTTCCAAAGGGAATGATTATGTTACACAGTTTGAGTTTTCAAAACAAGGAGTGGAAGTTGAAATTTAATTGGGGGTGGGGATTGAGCATAGGGAAGGATTTTTATTTTGTTTTACAAATTCAGTTTGATCTCTTTGTCTCTAGATAATTTGTTATTGTAGGTTGGCTTAAATTTAAGAAACATTTTAG